AAGGCTAGTTATCCTTTGAGATTTCCTAGTGGAGAAACTGTCTTTAGTAAAGAGAGACAACATATTAGAAGATAGTTATTCTTTTTTCTGGAGTGCATGAATAGTTTAATTTTCCCAGTTTATAACTGTTCCTCCCTCCATTTCCAGTAAGATGATATCTCAGACAAATGAGCCTACACGTATTGGGTGCTTATGTGCCATTAAATTTCAGTTGGCTCTGAGTACATGGTTCCCTTGGGTCCTTTGAAAAGCCAAGATTCAGTGAACAACTGTTGGTCTCACATTGCCTAACTCTTGCTTTAGTGTTGTTGTTTTTATTCCTTCTTTGAACATCAGGGAGATTTCAGCATAACTCAGTGAAAGCTAAATCCCACCAGTGTCTGAAGAACACTGGAGACCTACACAGATAGTGGTGGCATGGGGAAGGTTTGTTTCTGAGAAGGCTCTGTATTGCCCTGAACTTACATCAGTGAAGTTGGTTTCATTCTCATTACCAGTTTCAGTAAGAGTAAATCTTGCTTTGCACTGGTATTTATATAAGGGATGTAATACCATTAGCAAGATAGTTTAATACTTTGCTTGCAGATTTAATATTTTAGTCTGTTGTGACTGTTTTCTCCGTTTCATTTCCTCTTCATTTTCCTCCAGTTTTCTTTCCTCCTCGTCACATTTTTGTCCCCTTCCTTCCAAAAAGGGAATATCTCTCTTCCTCTGATGTTTCCTCCCTCTCCCACCCATCGCATTCCAATTTAGGCCAGAGGGGACCAAAGCTGTGCACTGAGCTGTGTACTTACCTTCTGTGGAATGCACCACCTACACTTCAGGAGAAGTTCAGCATATGAGATCCTTTTCAGGACTGACTGCAGCTTTTGTAAGTCACTGTATATGGTCAAAATACGTGTCTGCTCCTGTGGAAAAAATCAAAACAACACACACCACTACCTCTGAAAAGCAGAAAGCTACCCGAACTGGAAGACAAAACAACTTTCAGTGAGAAAGGCTGGGTGAATGATTCCTGCTGCGTGTGCTGCAGCCTGTAGTTCTTCTCTTCCCTTTTCCTCGAGCGACCCCTAATGGGACGTGGCTCAGGCTCCACTTACCTGTGTGTGTTGACACAGTTTCCTCATACTACCTGCTTGCCCTGTGTGAGCCTGTCCTGGCCTACGCCCCTGGCTCTGGGATTGAGGTGTCCAAGAGGGACAGCTGGACACCTCTGAGGCTGCTGGTTGGGTACCACCGTTCCTGGTGGCACCTGGCCTGCAGTGGAAGCAGAGGGAGAGAGCAAGCCAAAAGGCACATGGAGAAAACAGATGTAAAATACCTGAAAAATACACAGGAATGTTAAATGGAGAGGAAAGAGTGATACCAAAAGAGTCAGTCAGGAGAAGAAGTCCCTGTGCAGTCAGCAGAGGGATATAAAGTGCCAAGATGTAGTGGAGGGAGACACTTTGAAGGCTGCATCTATTTAGTCAGGCCCTCGTGAGGTTAGGGGGAGTTCAACAGAAACAGCCAGGACTGACTGCCCTGCAGATGAGTTTTTGTCAGCTACAGAAACACGGGCACAAATGTGAATTGACCTTATTACTTTATGGACACATACATATAACCACAGCGACCCTGATGTTGGGATTGTTCTGCTACAGGGGGAAAAGCCTCTTCACAGCTTACCACATACAAGATTCAAACAGCTGTGAGTTACTGGTTACCGCACAGTCAGATGCAGAGTAGGTTTATGAGACAAAGCATGCAGGTTTAACAGCTCACCACACCTGAAATGGAGAATTTCTGATTCTTCTTTGGCTGTTATTTCCCCTGCTAAATTTGTGCCAGCGCAATTGCTCATCAGACCCTCTATGAGTCACTTCAAGTTGCTAAAGTTGCAGGAAAAAACAGCAGCACACAAGAAAGGAGCTGAATCGTTTCCTGCTCTTTTAATTTATTAAAACAGCTCTTGGAAGGACCTAATGCTTGGCCAGAGTATTGCTGGGTAGGGGAAGAACATGATGACTTCCCAGCCAAGGGCAGGAGCTAATAGACTAAGGTCAGCTGCCTGTGGATCTAAATGCTTACAGCCTGCCTGCTTGTTTTGCTGCGTTTAAGCTCACCGTTTGGCATAAGACAAAGCCATTGATCAATGCATTAATGCCATGGCAGTAGCCAAGTGTGCACCCAATACAGGAGAAAAAGGAAAACAGTGAATAACGGATAAATCATATAAGTGGAAAAACTGCATTTGATAGAAGAGAACCTGTTTGATACAGCAGGCATCCTACTCATGGCAGTAAAGATAGGATTCAAACAAAGCTAACAATTAAATTGAAATTACCATCCATTGCAGATTTGGATTTTATGGAATGAGTGAAGCAATCCTCTGCAAAGCTCCTGGAAACACCTACAGCCTGAACTGATTGCATCAGTTCTTCTCACCTTTAGTGTTGAAAAGCAGAGTGGAAAAGAAGCATAGGAATGAAAGTAGCAGTCCAAGAACCCTGACTTGAGTCTCTTTAGTTTCTCAGTATGGAGGGGGCTCGTTCCCAAAATCAGCTATTCACTGTGCTAATTTTAGGATGAGAAATAACGGCCTTCAGCCCGACCAGGAGGGGAGGCTCAGGTTGGATGTTAGGAAAAATTCCTTCTCGCAGAGAGCAGTGAGGCAGTGGCACAGGCTGCCCAGGGAGGTGGTGGAAGTGTTCAAGAAATGTGGATGTGGCGCTGAGGGACGCGGTGAATGGGCACGGTGGGGGTGGGTTGGCAATTGGACTGGATGTTCTGAGAGATCTTTCCAAAATTAATGACTGTATGATAATACAAACCAGTATAATTAATTTTAGATTAGTCCCAAGGTTTTGACCTTGAGAAAGGAAAAATATATCCAAGCCTGTAAAGTTTTATAATTCTATGAGTCTGTGGTTTTCAGGCCTCCTGCTGTTTACGATTCAAGTCTTGCAACACATTCGTTGTTGCATGGGACTAGGGAACAGTGTAGTAGACTGAGTATCAGTTTTTAACTATAACAGATAACAGGTCAAAGTTGTACAAAACTTTTAGGGCACCTAGGTCAAGATTTGAACATACTGTAGGGCTTAATATTTCCAATTGAAGATCGCATAAGGCCTTGGGAATTCCCATTAGTAGTCCACTTAAAAAACTCTGCTGGCTGCCATCACAGACCTTTAATTCACAACTTTGTAGCATTCATCATTTTAGGATTTTTCTTTAACACAGGAGTTCTTGTTACTGCCCGTTTTATTGTTTTTAAGTCAATCCACACATTGCAGATAACTCCTGGAGTGGCTGCTAATGAACCTCTTTTCCTTGCTTCCACTCCAATCAGTTCTACAACAGGCATGTGTGAAAATTATGCAGGTACATATAAAACCCACCCAACCTGAATGGCCTGCTTTAGGACATTTTTCACACATGCCACAAAGCACCTACTGCTGCAATTAAAAATTCAACAGCCCTCACTGGTTTCATTTTTCATTCCATCTGCGAAGGGATGCATCATGCCAGTCCTACAGCAGCAGCTCAGTGAAGGTAAGGCTTTGTATGAATACTTAGGAAGTTTTGGAACAGCAGCACTGAGGATTGGAATAGGTTATTTTCACAGTTATAAATATGGAGAGATTTGCAGCAGGTGCTAACTCTTAACAACAGAAAATTGCCCTTTCTAAAGCTCAGCAAGGGGATGTACAGGAAAAGCTGATACTTAGCATAGCCAAAGGCCCTTGTCAAACCACCACAAGCACCTTCCAGTGAAAGGAAGCAGCAACAGGAAGGTACTTCTTGCCCCAGCCCTCTGGGGAGGGCATAAGAAGGGGCAGAACAAAAATACCCAATAATCCATCATTCCTCGTGCTGCTTCAGCCCTTTCTTTTAAGCCCATACAGCCTTGACAGCAATGGAGCCATGGCTCAGGAGGAAGATGCCACGCTGATCAATGCTGATAGCATAAATGAAAATCTGTATGCAAGCTGAAGATCCCACCCCCCTTTAAGGGCAAGCATAGGACCACTCTGTGAAGCATCTCACATTCTTGGCTGTCAGGCTGCAGCAGAATAAGACTCACAATTCAGTAAATAGCTTCAGGACTTGAGGAACAGCACGTGATACACTTTGGGTTTTCATTTCCTGAATAGGCAACTCTAGCTGTGCTACACTGCAACATCGGTCATGTTTACTAATCTTAGTCTGACCCCTAGTGAGCTGTCACAGAATAATCAGATTCATCTACGCTCTGCTGGCCCTTCCTGACAGGCAGCTACTCGAAGAAGCCATTTCTCCTAGGTTACTTTTATCAGTAGCATAGCACAGGGAAAAGATTCAACTCAGAAGTCATAAAGCTTTCTTTTGAAGCTGGGCATCTGTGAAAGAATACACGAAGTATCAAATTGCCTTACCTCAATACATAAGGTATTTTTGTCCTCTTCCCCCACTTTTTCTATGCAATCAGTTTGTTAATACCTGTGAAGAGATTTTATTTCTGTAAGAGATAGAGAAGTGATGCGTAAGAAGTTCAAATTAGCACTTAACACAAAAACTGTCTGTTAAAGCAGTAAACTTTTAAGGACCTACACAGCTTGCACCATTTGTTAAGCCATCAGAGGACTGTAGGTTTTTGTCAGCTTTCACCTCTGCATTTTGTTCAGACTGTTTATGCCAAGGAGCTACAGGCCAAAATGCAATCGTTATTCGCTTTCCTTGGCAGTAACACAAGCACAGTAAAATCTTTATGGATTTTTCCCCTCACGGAGTCCCATTTATCAAACACGCTGACAAATTTTTAGAAAAGTAATTTGCCCAACTTCTGAAATGTGCCCATGAGAGCTTACACTTTTTTTTTCCCCCCTTCTTCCCCACAAAGCAGCACTCTGGTGTTGCTACAGCCAGGAGGATTGTCTCAATAATAGTGCTCTCTGGTTCTGTTTTTGGATCTATTTTTATCACCCCCAGTTTGCACATGATTCTGATACCTCTTCCCACCTTTCTGCTCCTTACAGGCATTTTGAAGTTTGTGGAAATCACTGTTAACCTCCTGGTGCTGATTTGCGTGGGCGCTGCCCAAGCCTCTGTTGCAGGCTTTACTTCCGTCGGCAGCTTGGGCATCGGATCCTTTAACCTGAATTCAGCCTACAGCCCCTTCGAGGGCACGGAGCTCCAGGAAGTGAGGGAGCTGGACATGCAGATCACCCAGATGAGAGCCCCCTGCGTCTACGGCGGAGTAACCTTCAGCTTAGCAGCAGCAGCGCTCACGCTCGTCTTCCTCGTAGTGGGGGCAAAACCCATCCACCGCCTCAAGATGGGGCTGCTTGGTGGTGAATGTGCCTTCAGCCTGCTGGCTGGTGTGTGCTACGTCATTGCAGTTAGCCTCTACTTGCACTTTGTCACCCAGGTGAACACCACGGAAGCTTGCAAGAGGCGTGAGAGGCTGTACGCGCGCCGTGGTTACACCTCCATGAACTGCGTGGTCCAGGGTGGCGATGCAGCCGTCGGCCTCTTCGGTGTAGTTGCGGCCTGTTTGTACTTTGCCAGCTTTGTGGTCTGCATCCTTGCTATTCGAACCGTGCGGGCCTTCCAGAGCCACATGGCCACGGCTCAGCACAGCCCCAAGAGCAGCGTTAGGGACAGAAGCGTCAGAAATGACCGCCCCACGCACAGAACCTCTGGAAGCTCCCAGAACACCCAGGCTCTTGCCACATTAGTGTGAAGTCAGTTGTGGGCCCATGCCAGAGAACAGCAGCTTCAGCAAGGGGCAGGTACTAGACTTTGTGTGCCTAAGTCCACTGTCTGACAAGGTACTGGAAGTGTGTCTCAAATCACCAAATGTAAATAAAATGTAATAAAATAGATGCTGGAAGGATATTCTAACAAAGCTTTTTTTTTTTTTTTTTTTGGGTGCATCAGTCTCTCAGACAGACTCCTGCCTTTAAAATGTGTTTGATTCTTATGTTTCCACCCTGTACAGAGCAAATCTGAACAACAGTGCACTGTTAACAGGTTGCAATTGCAGTGGTGCCGAGCTGGTGTTAATAACCACTCCCTTTATTCTCTCTTGGCATAAGGAATTGAACATAAAGCCTGCATGGGCAGCCAGCTGTGCAGAGAAGTCCTTGAACACATCCCGTGCCTGTTGATGCATCCTGTTGCTTTAAGCCACGGTAGGCACAAAGCAGAGGACACTCAGGTGCCTTTCTGAATCGCATCCTGAGTTATACTTGTGACCTGTTCCACTTGGAACAGTGAAATATTTTATCTTTCGAGTCATGGGGTCATCGCATGGCAATCATGTGCTCCTGTAGGAATGCTGCCAAGAGGAGCAAGCTGCAGCTAACTTCAAAAGCAGCATCTGGGGCCTGGCTCCAGGTCTGCTACATTTTTCTCATCCCACTGAGCACAGATCAGACGGTAAGAGGCAACACATTTGTCAGCTATCCTCTTAATGAAGATACTGCTTGCCTCTGCAGCATGGTTTGGCTTGCTGACTACAGCTGATGATGAGCAGAGCCCAAGTCAGGTACGCGCTGGCTGCCATTGAGCTTTTCAAGGCAATTCTGTAACAATGACAAAACATTCACGTCTCCTTCCAATATCTAAACGAGAAAAGCATGAGTGAACAGCAGTAATTGTATGCCCCCAGGGTCGAGAAAATAAGAGAACATCTTTTAAGAGTCCTTCTTTGAGGAAGATGAAATAGGTCACTGGACTTCACAGATGAGAGGGTGAGAAAAAAAGAGCTATTGCTGAAGTATGTAAGATTTGTCAGTTTGTGGGGAGGGAAGAGGCAATTTTGAGCCTGGCTGTGATCTTTCACTTCCATGTAGCTCAGAATCACTGTCTAGATGAGGCCCTTTTGAACCATCATAGAACTTATTTATTTTATATATTTAATGTATGTATGTCTACACATACTCACAAGAACACACATCTCAGAGTATTGTAGTTGATCTAATATTCACATAACAATAAAACATTGCAGTTTGGATCAGGAAACGATTGCACAAGCCTTTACTGCAAGTATTTAACACTGATATAGTATCTTAAACACCTCTTTAATAATCTGAACGTAAACAGGCTCCATAGCGTTACTGTGGAGCAGACAGAAGACTTTTTGCAAACTTGCTGCGACTCACATTAATGATGATAGCCATGAAATTGAGACCTTGACTCCTAGCTTTTGCCCAGAACCAGGCCTTCACTGCACGCTGTAAGAAACTGAATTCTTCTACAGCGATATCTGGCATCCAGCTAAAGCCACAACTCACCACAATTCATTCAAAAAAAAGATGTTTGGCTTCCATCCATCTTCCTGCCAAAGCAATCCTGTCCTTTTCTATGCAGCTTAGCTCTATCAGTCTCACCTCTGCCCTCCACTTCCCACTCTTGCACCAATCATTGGTCTTGGCCTTCCCATGCGCGGCTGCAAGGATTGCCCCCTATCTCAAGACTCAACTTGCAGCCCCAGCGTTTCCTCTCAAAGAGCAGGTGGTGAGAAATGAGAAAGCTTCCAAGCCTCTTGTGTTAGGAGGCTTCACCTACACTGTAAGAAAGGCCCAGTGCCCTAGTTCCTTCCATTTGACGTGGCGTTTGTAGGGACTGGTGGCTCTCATAGTCCTTCTAGATGCAGAACTCTGGGGATGACTCAAGTCTCAGCTCACATTTCTGGTAGTTTGGCTCACTGTGTGTTGTCCCATGATGTTTTCTGTTGTAAGCAGCAGTGACCTGTGAGCAAATGTGCCAGATTTCAAGAACAAGGACAGATCACGGGGCCTTCCAGATCTATTTGTCAGGAAAGCATCCAGGATGAAGCATCTCTCCATGCAGAGACCTTGTTTCTACCCCTCACAGAATCATTAGGGTTGGAAAGCACCTCTGGAGACCATCTAGTTCAATCCATCGCTAAAGCTGGTTCCTTCCAGGACACGGAGAGCAAGCGCACCCCAAGCAGAGAGTCCACAAAGGAGGCCAGAGCCATCAGAGGGCCAGTGATTGCCAGTTTCTCCACTCACCTTCACGGAGGGAAGTGTAGCAGAGGAGAGTACAAATTCCACCAATACTCTTCGGAGGACTCCAGCAGGGAAGAGGAAGCTTTCCTTCCGCTCAGGGCAGGCAATGTATCAACCAGAGGAAACCTGCCCACCACAAGTGTAGGCCTGGGGCTCTGGACAGACAATCTGTGTTAGGTAAAGGCCAAACCCACACTTCTTGTGGGCAAACAGACTTTCAACGTAACAGCTTCAAAGCGAGTCACTCCTGCTACATCAGGAAGCCTTCTGGGAAGCTGAGCAGATTCAGAAGCTTCAGAAAGAGGAATAAAAGAACCACTACCCTGACCTCTGCAGGTGCTGTGGGACAGGTGCATATATCAAGGCTGGATCTGCCTGGCAGGAGAAAAGCCCCACTGCGGATGTTCCCTGGTGTCAGGCACTGGGCTGACTACAGAAGATGATTTATCTCAAAGTCACTCTGCACTCCTGTTGGGTTTAAACTATCAATTTACACCTGCCTCCTTTGGTGCAGGAGCAAACAGCTTCAGTCAGTCTGGGAGCAAAAATCCCATCTGAGCTCACAGACATTCGTTATCCACAGAGGAACCCCTCCCACGGCCTTGGAGAGAGATGATCTCAATCAAAGCACTGAAATATGAAGTCATTTTTTTGACAGAATACCTCCCCCTGCCTTGTTCTGAGGAGGAAGCAGAGGGCACAAATATTTAAGATGTCTGTGTTAATGAAATAATGAAAAAAAGAGACCACAGCACTGATTCTGCATCCCACTGCTCTGCATAAACTGCTGTGAAATGTTAATCCTGGTGGGCTGTGTCTCTCTGAGCATCCATTTGCCTGACTGTCTCCTTTATTCAAATAATTGTTGTAAAATTAATTCAGTCTGGGGAAAATCTTTTCCAAAACGGAGCAAATTAGCATCCCAAGATGCGAGCTGCTTCTTTCTCAATGTGAAAGGCAAAACTGTGGGGGTTGGGGCCAGTGGAGAAAGAAGATACTTGCTCCTGAAAATAGGCTCAACATAACCTTTACATTTACTAAATAATTCACTCATCTGGAACCATAAAACCCTCACAGCTAGGAGGACTGTGAACGTTCTCAGAATATATTAACTTTTACCATTACTTGCTTTTTCCAGGGCAGTTTCAGTGTACCTGACGTGAAGAAACAACTCTGAACACAAACCGGTTGTGTGACAGCAGAATTTGAAGCTCATCTTTTTGGAAACTGCAATCTCAGTTTACGTGAAAAACTGCTTCAAAGTGATGAGAATATATACAGGGATTAGAGAACTGGAGAACAGTTTGAATGGAGATTGTTCTTTTGTAATCCATGTATTTTATTCCCAGTGCAAATCTACCTTCATCTGAGTTTGTCTCCTGTCAATTTCTCGCCTCAACTCAGATTGACTGTAAGTTGAGCTCTAACTACAAAATGGACCTTCTGTAACTCCCATCTCTCAATTACATTTGCAGATCTTACAAATCTCCTTTCCTAGGACTCCAATTTTTATTAAATAGGACCATAACCACGTTGCTTATGACAGCTGGGACACTCGTCATTACTCACCTCTTTCACATCCATCCATCTCCAGGAAAAGGTGGCATTCAATCTATTACAGAGGCTTAATGCCTGCCTAGCATAAAAGTGTCACAGATGCTCACCATCACCCATCATACATAAAACATGAGGCTCCTTGCAAGGTCTGCAGATCCTCACTGCGTTTGATGGAATTGGTTTTGGCGTGTGACAGTGCAGGACTGGAAAGTCGCAGGATGCCCTTCATTACTACAAATGGGCTATTGATCTCCAGCTGTGCCATTAGCACACATTGCACCTGCTGCTGAAGCTCATAGGACATTTTGGAAAGCTTAAGTGAGGGGAAAGCATCCATGCACAGGTAATTAGTTTCTCAACTGAACGTACGAAGGCTCACAAGACAGACAGGCACAGCTACAGACCGTACATTTGAAACAGGCTTTGAAATACTACGTGAGAAACGATAGCAGAGAGGTTAAGACATCTGTATGGAAACGTCAAAGTTTTTGCTAACCCACACTGCTGTCCAAGTTAAACAAGGGCAGCTGAAGTGCGGCAGGAAAAAAGGGCTGAGATTCGCCCAGCTGTTTGTTGAGCACTGGAGGTTCATTAGCTGTGAATGCACTGCGTGCCTCGCGTATGCATTACTCATAGGCTTCCCACTGTACCCAGATTTATAGTACCAAGCCATGCCTAAATCCATCATCTGCACACCCACAGCACTTCATGCCCACACAACCCTTCTCTGCAAAGTGAAGGACCCAAGGCAGCAGCTTCCCAGCCCTCAGCATGTAGAGGCAAGGTTCTTGGCACAGCATGATGGAAGCCACGTGACACTGGAAGAGCTGGTGCCAGAAAACTAAGGAGCTTAAGACTTCCTAACTGGAGATGATCAGTGTGCGCAGTCACTATTGGGGCACACAAGCAGTTGGAAAGGCGTTTTTCCTTCCTGGGGATCACAAGAATGTGTCTTGTGGGCACAGCTGCCCTGACTTACCAGGAAGCTCCTGCTGCTGCCAGCGCTGCTGCTGCTGTGTGGAGTGACAGGCTGAGCCAAGGCAGCTCCAGAACAGCTTCATCTGTAGGTGTGAGCATAGGAGCACGGGTTTCACTTGGGCCCTTGGCAAGGAAGCTGTAGCCATATTCTCCCATCTCATGGTAACACAAGGGGGAGCTCCTGTAGTTTTCAATTAGCAAAGACAGCAGCAACACGCTACTTTTTACCCCACCTACAGAAAGCTCCGCTTCAATTATAAAGAGAGGCCTGAAAGCCATTTCTTACCTTCATCACAAGGAGAGCTCTTCTGTCTCAGA